TTTTGTTTCTTTAAACGACTAAGTATGTACTTCGTAAAAGAAGTTAAATATTCAAATGATTAGAGTATAATTATATTGAGCCCAAAAATACTTAACTATTAACAAATACAAAACATTCACTCACTTAAGACAAACTTCTCTTACAAGAATGTTATTGAGTGTACAAACAGAAATAAAACCAAAATTTTACTTTTCCTACTACATCATCTAAACTTTACTATAAATATGCACCTAATTACTACATTTTGAGCAGTATTAGTTCACTAAAGTTTCTATCTGCGCTATATTTATTCAAAACCACGCTAAATATCCATTCTGTTGTTTTTACATAATAATATAACGCTAGAAATTTATTTCAAATTATAAAAACTGTTAAAATTATATATGTAAGATAAATATGCAATTTTTATCTTTCATGATTAAGGACGATACGGATGGCCGAAAATAGTGAGTGAGAACATAATGCTCAATTAATCGAAGCTGCCTACAATTAGAGCTTTCATAGAGGGAGAAGAAGGAAGAAAGAAATAGAAGACACCACTGTCAACCGTTCGATCTGGTAACCTTGGTCTTAAACAGCAGGTCGCTAAGAATTTATTATTTTATTCGTCGCCCTTGTTAGATATTATACATGAAATACTAGTGTTTTAATTTACTTATAAAAGGACTTCCCAACCATTCTTGAGACTGACGACCTTCTGATGATGAACTTTACAAAAGACGCAATAAACTAGTATTTTTTTTAAAAAAAATTTAAAGGAAAAAAAATGAAATTAAAACAAAAAATCTCTAAAAACTCAAAAATAAACAATTTTCATTCAATTTGGTAGCTTTTCCTCTACAAAATCAATTTAATTTAATTAAATAGTTTAAAAATTAAAAACAAGTATCTATTTTGTAATTTATCTATTGTAACTTAAAGGACGTTCTTCCAGGCTATTAGACATACTTTATCAATAAGTATAATAAAAAAAAATGAGTAAAAGTATTGGTGATATTGTTGTTTGCATAAAATAAAGAGAAGTTTGTCTTTTACACACAAAAAAACAGATCTAATATGGCAAAGTCTTAAAAGTTTTTAAGGCACTTGTAACCTTTTATATACATTTTTCTCTCTTACCTAATAAATAAAATCACATTCTCAATAGCATTTGCAGCAACAAGTTTTAATGTTGAGTACACACCTAATTATTTATTAAATAACTTTCAGATGTTTTTCATAGTTATTATAATCTGGTTTTGTTACTTTTTGTGTTTGTTTGTTTATTTGTTCGATTACTTGGCACAATTTAGAAGACTTTATTTATATGACAATAATAAATTATTTATAGACATCATAGTTAATCATGAATGTCCATTATCTCTTACTTTGTTTTAACATAATACGTTATGTATACTAATTTTGCATTCGTAATTCGACAGATCTAATCAGTGACTTCAGAATGCAGTTAAATCGGTTTTGTGAAGTTGGCTGGAAACATTCCCTTTTCTCCGGTACTCTCTTTGATGCCCATTAACCAGCCTTCTTCCTGAAAGATATAAAAATATATTAAGTTACATTAAATGCACTTTCAAAATACACCAAAATAGCTTTAAAAAGAAATTAATCACTTTCAAACACAATTCTTACCTGTTCCTCTGGATCGTCATACTCAACCACTTGAATAATTTCGCCAACATCAAAGGTCAACTCGTCCACGTCTTCCCTGTTATATTTGTAAGTGGCCTTCACTTTATAAAGAACACCTGGCGGTAAGTTGTCCGTGCTGGCACCTGAAAGGGAAAGTCAGATTTTCAATTTCAATTTCACTCTTGAGGTTTTCTTTTTTCCATTTTCTCTTTAGCATATGTACCATACGTGTGTTCACTGTGCGTTAATTATTATGGCGTTATTGACACGCTCGAAGAAGTATCGTTGACAGAAGAGGTTCTTCAACCAAAGACACGAAATACTACATCTGCATAGTTTATATGTATATTATAAAGGCAAATAATCTAGAGAAATTTTATTTGCACAAATTGTTTTTATTAAGTTGAAGTTTGCACTAAAACCTATAAAAAAATAAAAATTTGCAAGATCATCAATACTGATTGTCATCAATACTATAAATTCCGTAATTACATTAATTATTGTTGGTATTGACAATAATGAGGAAAGCAGGCTCACCTTCGTTCTTTACACCGAGGTCAATGATAATTAAAAATCATTACATCATAAAACATGATCATTTAATGGACAAGTGATAATGCCACAATAGCAAAAAATTATCATGGCTATTAAAAAATTTGTTTACTACTGCTGAAAAATCTGTTTTGTTCCATTTAGAACATAACAAACTTGGCAACGTAGTCTGCACACTCACCTACTGGTATGTCGTAAAGTTCTTCTACCTTCTTTTGGGGACTGCTGGTTATACCGTTGTCGTTAGTAACAACGGGTGGGGCCTTAGTATCCACCCCGTCAGTCTGATTATTACTGGTAGTTACGGACGGTTGTGCGGTGGTGGGAAGGGGAGGCAGTGACGAATCGTCCGAACTGTTCCCATTCATCTGGGGTTTGTTATCGGGCGCAGTGGGGGGAGTGGGCGTGGTCGGGGGCGAAGCAGGAGGAGGGGATGTAGGAGTACTCGGCTGGGAAGTCGAGTTGGCGTTCGAGATAAAGGCGGAATCGTGTGAGGGGCGACTGCTTAGCTTAGTAGGGGTGTCGACTTTCGAGTCGTTATTCAATTCGACTGCTTTCGGCTCGGATTTAGCATTGTTATTAGTCGGGAGGGTTGCGGCATGCTCGGAAGCTGCAAAAACATAGACACATCGTGTTAGCAACAAGCGTATTAAACTCGTTAAATATAATACAACGCACTCCAAACTTTATATATTTAAATATAAATGAATAAGTACAACGTTGCACCTACTTATTGATTCTTTTTTTGCACGCTAATTTTTCAAAATTTTATTTCAACTATCTACAAATGGATTCAAATTGCTAAATTACATTAATCTGCTTTAAACTTCACTTAAACGAGTACATTACGTGCGTTGTTTATTGACTGTTACACTTGTTATGGTTATTATACATACATTTACAATTATGCAATAAACGTACACAGCTAAAGCAATTACCACTGAACTCAAAATTTTTAACAGAGACAAGGGTCAGAAAAATCTTGCACATGATTAATTATAATTCATATTAATGTATTAGCTGCAATATTCAGCGTTGTCTCAATCTCTTTATTATATATACACTCAGTTATGTCTGTGATCTATAAATCATACAGGTACTGCTACCGAACTCTTTTATTATCAGCGGAAGACCAAGAGCCGTCTACCATTATAAGCATGAAGGGGGGGGGGAGAAGAGTTATGAAGAATAAACAAACACAAGCTTCACATTGAAAAGTAGAAAGTGAATAAAGAAACTCTAACCAGTAGATGAACCACGTGGGACAGAAGAACAAGTAAGTGGAGAAACAACCTGTAGCTGAGAGACACAGTGGTAAACAGAAAAATAGGATGAAAAAAGGCCAGACATGAGGAGTATCTGTGACTAATAAAAAGAGAGATTGGGACAGAAAGTGTGATTGAAAAGATAGCACACTATTATAATATGGTTAAAGGCGGTGGGGTATCACTTCACACTTAATTGATACCCTTCTCGTCCAGTAATGAAAGGTAGAGTCCGTACACTTAGAAAAAGGTACCCGATGCTAGATCTATATGCGCACACTGCCTTAATGGGCGTAACTGTCAGAATTTATTTACGGCATCGGAAGCTTACGATTGGGCTTGATCGGAAACATCTGACGTATTCCGAGGACCCGCCTACTACCGATAATTGTTTGTACGAATCGCCTATGCTGTACCTTTCTCTAAGTGAGCGGACCATATGAATGAAACGAGAAAAATGTTCAAACGATTGCGTAATACTACTCATGTCTTGTTTTGAGTTCAGTGATGGGCATGTTTAAAACTACATATATGAAATGTTTTAAAAAAAATTGATACTTACGGACATTTCTGTAGTTCAGTTGCGGTGTAACATTGTTTATAACCGCATTTGATGTGCTGATCGGTTTGAGAGATGGTAACGTTGATCCATTGCTCTTTTTAATGTTATACGAACCCCTCTGACTGTCGGTGGCTAGTTTGTCTACTATGGCTTCTAGTTCGGCGTAAATCTATTTAATAAAAAAAAAAGAAGCCGTCTTGAAATTTGAACTTTCCGCGGCATGAAGTGAATAAAGAAAACAACAGGATAATCGAATTGACCTTTTAAAAGGTTAAATACGTATTAGGAAATTTTACACAGACAGGTATTTGTAATTCAATAAAACCAATGAATAATTGAAAAAAATTAACTGTATTAAAAAGATTCCCTGCAAAAATTAAACTGTGCTTATTTCAAAGATATTATTTAAAATTTTTATGATTGCTCTCACAGGCAAAAAAATTAACAAATGAGTACTACATAAAAATTTATTTGGCTTGTTAATGTGAATTTAATACGTTGGCCACATGCCAACAAGTTTATTGCGAGAAAAGCTTTGGACTTTTAGTAGATTTTTTCTTTTTGCGCATAGAAATATACACATTGACATTATTACTGACGTGAGCGTTTTATCTGCGTACGAAACAAGAATTAATGAATTCAAACTTTCGCCTGCGCGTGAGTAAAAATATAGCAGTAAAATTATTTAAGAATATCTTTTTGTTTCTCTTCATTTCAGTCACATCATCTTAAAAAAAAGTAGCAGTTTTGCATCTTTAAATAGAAATTTCTTGGATTTGCAAAGATCAAACTGGAAACTTTTTTTATTACAAAAAAAAGAAATAATAAATTTCAAAGAAAATCAAACAGAACCATGCTTGAGTGAGACAATTTTCCCGGAGGAGCACAACAAAAAGGAGTTCAACGAAACTTCTGTAACTCATTTTAATGCTACATTTTTTTTGATATCCACTTAGACTTGCTAATTTAAGAAGTATGGGGAAATGGTATTTTAACACATTTTTAGTTACAAATCAAAAAATTTACTTTTCAAAACATATCAATTCTGGGATAATCATTATCGTTTTTCTGCAGATTTAAGAAACAGGTTGAAATAGATAGATTTCAGTAATACTTATGGAAATACAACACCCAAAAATTTTGAATTTTAATTTAATAATATGTTTAATCTATACATCGAAGACGCGATCAATAATATCGTTAAAGACAGTACAACTGTAGGGATAGATATACAGGGTCAAAAGATTAGTAAGCCTAGATTTGTAGATGATATACATAGCTGCATTAGCATCTAGCAAGGAGGACTTACAGATAGCTTTAAATAAAATGGAAG